GGGTTTAGGGGGGTTTAGGGTTTAAAAGTTTTAAGGGGGTTTGCCGGCTTAAGGTTTCAGGCTTGGGGCTTGCCGACTTAAGTGTTAGGGTTAGGGTGTTGGGGTGATTGAAGATTGAGCTGTTCTACCGGTCTGCTGCCTCAAGCAGAAAACTTGTAGGCTGCCTCGTTCAAGTTCAAGTGCTGTGGGGAGTGTGAGTGTGTTTTGATCCCCACTCATTGGGTTCCCTGACGTCTTGGCGCTGCGCAAACACTCCTTTGTCATGAGATGCAGAGGGTGGAATTCGGAATACAAGGGGTCGATAAGTCGGCAACAATCTGCCTGTGTTGCCTCTACATGTAATTAATATTTTTTCTATACCCCAAACCCTGTTCGAACTCTTCCGGCTTACGGCCCGTTTATAGCAACAGCACATCTCCATGCCCAACCCTCTTCGGCTTGTAGCAATGATCGCAATCCAAACCATGATGAACATCTGCTCATATATAGTTTTAATGTATGTACTGATTGACGGCTGTGTGGGTGTATGTATGGCTGTGTGTTTGTTTGGTATGTGTGTTTGCTTGTGTGTATATATATATATACACATACAAACTTTTGTTTGTTTTTATACCTATATGCATATTTGTACTTATGCGTTGAGCACTAGACTCAGAGGCACGCTGTGAACAACTTGAAAGTGTGAGACATTGTGACAGCGAGAAATGCTTGCGAGTGATCATGCGATAGGGCCAACACTTTCAGAGTTGGGCTTGCACGAGCGAAATTCGAAAGCACTTTGAACAGGCGTCTTCTGTGCCCCGGCCCAGCAACAACCCAGCCGGACAGTGGCCTGAGATGCCTGCACAGGCAGGGAAACGTGCCTGGACAGGAACTGTAGTAGCATGGAGCACAGCCCGGCAGGCTGCCACTGCACGTGAGCCCGTCCGGCCCAGTGAGAGCCCGCCTGGGCAGTGGCCTGCGCTGCCGGCAGAGGCACAGCGGTGTCTGCCCAAGTGCAAGTTGTTTCGCATCAGATCGCGCATGTCATACTTTTAGTTGATGCCTGCTGTGCTCGAGGGCGGTGGCAGCCAATCTCGGCAGTGGCCGGCAACTTCGCCGCAGGCCAGACTGCGGCTGCTGCCGTGAATGCCAGATCGGAATCAAAATTGTCACATGCCTTTCATTTTCAAGAAGGTAGTATACGACTTGCAGTCATGTTTGTGCCCCGCACGCAGTACGAGAAGCATGGGACAAGACTAGACACGCCAGATACGGTTTCGGTGCTGAGTACGTACATGCTGCTGCGCACCAAGACAATAATGCCATCCCAGATCAGAAATCATAGATAGAAGTTTCTCCGCGCTGCAGGAACTGACTACTTACGACAGACGTTTTCCATTTTGACGGCTGCGCTTCTCTAGTTGCGGTTAGCAACGGTTAGCATCGTCGAGGCATCTGCCGTGCCCCAGCCCAGCAACAACCCGGCCGGACAGTGGCCTGAGATGCCTGCAGAGGCAGGGAAACGTGCCTGGACAGGAACTGTAGTAGCATGGAGCACAGCCCGGCAGGCTGCCACTGCACGTGAGCCCGTCCGGCCCAGTGAGAGCCCGTCTGGGCAGTGGCCTGCGCTGCCGGCAGAGGCACAGCAGTGTCTGCCGAAGTGCAAGGCGCCCCATGCCCAAGTCATGCCTGCTGCGTGCGAGGGCGGTGGCAGCCAGTCCGGGCAGTGGCCTGCAACTTCGCCGCAGGCCAAACTGCGGCTGCGACCGTAGTTTGGATCCTCGAATCATTGTCAGATGAAGTTACGTAGTTGAAACAGGCAGAGCATTGCAGGGATGGGCTGGTCGAGATCAGGACATGGTTGGCGCGGGAAAGACACGCCTGGTAATCATCGCTGCCGTCAAACCCCCCAAGACCATCTAAACCCCCAAACCCTTGTAAGCCTCACAAGCCCTGCTTTAGCAGGTTGCGGCTGGAGAGAGCCCTGCGGGAGAATGGCCTGCAGGTGGACAGGCACGGAGCAGTGAGCGATATAGAAGCCAAATAGCCATAGTAATGTCAAAGTCTCTTAATGCCCCAAACCAAAGCCCCATAATAGTTAGCCATTTGCCTGCCCCCCCCCCCCATCCCGATCTTGAGGCCTCCTGTGTTGTGTGCGGCACTGACTTCGGGCAGTCAACTGTTTTCCCTGCAGTTGCAATTGCAAGTGTGACTGTTACAGTTTAGTTCGGAAACACCCACCTGGGCCCGTAGTTCTCCTTCCACAGGTGCCTGCTGAGCCACAGCGCAGTGGCAGCCAGTCTGGGCAGTGGCCCGCGACACCCACAGAGGCCGGAAAGGGGCTTGGACTGCTGCACATGGCTGGAAGTTGCGGCCATCGTTGCCTGAAGCAGCTGCATGCACTCCATCGGGAAGGCTGCCGCTGCTGAGCTCAGCTTCAGCAACCGTGGTCCTCTCGGGCAGTGGCCTGCGCTTGCACAGGCGCACAAAGGGTCTCCGACATCCATGCATCAGTCGTGCTAGCGCAGCCACATATTCCTTGATGTGATAGGCGAGCAATCTTGATGCGAGTTTGCAGCTCAGCATATGCTAGACCAAAATTGTTGTCTAGGACAGGTTTCCGAGTCTTCGTGCTGCACTTGTGACTTCAGAGTTTGACCGATGTGGTTCCTGATATGTTCACGCAGTGCCGCAGAGGATATGGTCAGCACCGACGCAAATAATTACCTTCACGTGTACTGTATGTGGTAGCACTGCATTGCGGTAGGTCGCGGCTGTGCCGCAGGAGCAAAGCCAAAGCCCTTGCGGCCAGGCCCT